AAGAATATGATGCGAGGTACGCCTTCGCGTTGCAGATGCTGAAATATCTCTTCCTCAGTGATTCGATAAAGACAGTTGATCTTGTTTTGTTTTGGGAATTGACACCGGTGAAAATCAGAATCTTATTTATGTTCATAATCAGTTTTTCTTTCTTTTTTAGCTTAGACAACTTTGCCCAAAAGTTATAATGACTTCCTCATATTCCAGTAACGATTACTTATTTACTGAGTGCTTTTCTCTGGCTTTGCATGTCAAGTGCACTATTTCAACGACTAATTAGATTAATCGGCGTGAGTTCTACTTTCTACGACGCCACGAGAAGATGGATCAGTCATGTGGTTCGCCTGAAGGACAGCTGAATCTACCTACGTTCGACCGCTTCGCCCCTCAACCCATGCAAAAGATTTAGTATATTGATTTTGTAATTTAAGGGGCAAAAAGTTTTCGTTCCATTTTTTCGCTGTTTGCTGTTCGGTCGATTGTTGTGATCATCAACCTGCGCAGTCTCGATAAGCAGAGAGACTTTGATTTATGATGATCTCCGCTATATTCATAGCTTTCGAACCCTTTTGCTACATGCTACTGGTCAGTGATCGTAGAAGGAAATATTCCTCACCAAAAGCAGATTTGTCTTTAACTTGTTCCTCAGTGTTGCGTACTGGCTTTCTGGTCGACATCTAGCGTGTTTTGGCTCCAGCACGAGAAACTCGAAGGAATACCTCATGAGTGACTACTGAGTATCTTCTGAGTGATCCTGCCAACAGCAAGTTTTGACGTCATTCAGACATGCTAGGTACACCCTGTCAACGTAGTAGTCGAACAGAGGCACAGAGTACACAATTTAGAAAATGTCATTATTAGCCGTAAAAAAGACAAGAAGTAGGACTGCCGTCTTGAACAGCTGTGTGCGACTGCTTAATTTAGCGTTTTACCAGCGTTCAAATGGCAGAGCAGCTTTTGACATTCAAATCAAACGGTCGATGCCAAAGGTTCGTAAATGTTTTCGGATTTTTAGATTTTACCAGTCAGTAAAAGCGATGATTGCCGTTTCGGTGTGCCTTACGTATCCGGTCCAGTTCTACGTACCATTCAGCATAGTCGAAGAGTACATCAAGAAAAAATACTCCGACTCATGGCTGAAGCAGCGAGTTATCGAATACGTCGCCCGCATAGGCATTGTTTTGCTTACTTGTAAGTAGTTTGTGAGCACCGTTTAACGGCTCCTAGTCACGTACGTTAGCCTATAGTTTTTTTTGCTGAACTCATCCCTCATCTGGGGCTGTTCATCTCGTTGGTAGGTTCTCTCGCAGGAGCTTGCCTGGCGTTGGTCTTTCCGGCGATCATCGACACGATCTGCGAATATGACGGTCGTTTTTGGGAAATACATTACGTTTTGATTGTGTTCAGGAACTTCTGTTTTTTTATATTGGGCATTCTCGGTCTGGTTGTTGGAACTGCTTTATCTATTAGAGATATTGTTAATGCTTTTGAATAAACTGAAAAGTGATAATCATCGAAAGAATATTTTCAAGCTTGTTCTAAGTGCATGAAACGGAGACGCTGTCGATAACGCGGTAAAAACTTTTAAAGAGCTGTCGGTACATCGGCCCTGCGGTCATTATTATATAATCTTGTTTAAAATGAGAAGAAAGCTGTTTGTTGTGCCATGTAGAAGCCAAGCGAAATTTTATTTTTATAAAAGACGAATCGATGAAGTTTCATGGAAAAAGCTGAATGTGTGTCATTTGTTTTTGTGTGATACTTGATTGTGACAGACACGCGTAGAAACGCATTTCGTGGTCAACCTACAGTACAGAGTGATGGCCCCTTTTATAGCGTTCTTCGCTGTCAGGAGACCAATATCTCTCCAGAAATGGACGGCTTCTTCCTCATCGTGCATCGGTTCATCAACTGGATGAGAAACGCAGAGAGTTCCTTTGTGGCTGTGCGTCTTTGGCAAATAAGCTTCAGAAGTCGGGGTCGTCTCTTTGTGGCCGCATTGTTGTCTATGAGCTTCGCTGAATCCATGTAGTTGACTCGCCTCTGGTTGTCACCAGCCCAACTCTATAGCGAGTGAATTGGTCACAGTTGAAGGAGATTCAATTATGTTTGCATTTGATGTGTTGATTAATATCTAGTCATCAGTCTCATACTCCGGCTTGACCACATCAGAATGCCATGCTTTCCACAAGGTTTGCAGACTTGTTGTTCTCCTTTCCTCTGATCACACCTAAACATCTTGAGGTCACATTTTGAGGGCGCGGCTTCCTACTCAAAGGAATAAGCAACCGAAACGAGACAAAGCGCAGAGTGGGATTCTAATAAATAGCGCCAGTCCTCTCTTCTCATGCCATTTCTGGACAGATGAAGGATTCTATTTTACACCACTGGTTAAAGTATGCACAATTATTTGAAGTGACATGTACTACAAACAGAGAGGCCGAATATGATGAGTGATGGTAAGCTGTCATGACTTTTGCCAACAGTACGACAGCACCTCATTGGTGAAAATACCTCGCATCATGGGAGTGATCACGTAAAGTCGGTGTATGCGGTCGATTGGACTTTGCCCGGACCTCGGATGTGCTTCTGCACTAGGTACTGTTTAATTGCTGCCATCAAACGAGAATTCGCCTTTTTTCGCCGCTGCTGTTTTATGTTCATGACGAACCAGCGGTTTTCCACTAGACATTTTACGGCTCTGCCATACTTCTCCTTCAGATAGTATAAAACGTAGGTCCGCATATTAAATCTTCATACATTATTGACTTATTGGCAAGAGACTGTCATCAAAACCTACGAAATTTATATTTGACACTTCTGCCTGATCAGCGTACTTCCTCTGAATACGGTGAACAGGGAGGATGATGGTCCTACTGAAGAAAACATCACGGACGCCGTTGTCAGATTCCAAAATATTACTTGTTCAAAAGCTACAGAAACTCTGTAACCAACTAAGCATCGAGGAGGCGGAGTGGTGACTCAGATCCACGGTGGTGACTGTTCTTATTGTTCAGCAGTTTTGAACCGATCCTCAAAAGACGTCCAGTGCTTGTCTATTATTCAACGTGAAATATGCCTGAAGTTTAGGAGTATACGCTTTTTAACTTTGGCGTTTCTCCATGTGCTAGTAACACTAGATGCATAGGTAAATAAATTCTTTTATTGATTGACCGACTGGTTGTTTATGGAGCCGGTCAATTCATATTATCTCGCTTTCTATCTTGCTTCTTAAGTACCAAGCCGTATTGAACGCTCTGTCGTTAATCACTTCTGATCCCTGACATTTAATGGGTGCATCTAATCTGTTGCAAAATAGCCGTGGTCGCTAAATTCACCAGCACCAGATTCGATGCTGAAGTTTTCAGCTCGGTTTGGCCGCTGTTAGCTGACCGTTACACTGTTATCAGATATGGTTTATTTTTGCATACTATCTTTATGGCATGATCAGGTCTTTGATTATCTGCTTATCATCTGATTCATCAATCATCAATCAATTTGAAATATTAAACGGTGTTTCTGTCATATTGCGCAACATATAAGGACGATGAAGATCGATGAGATGCAGGGTCGACGCATTTAAGCTTCATGTCCCCACCTCTGTTCGTCATTGGTTTTCACGCGCGAAGTTCAATGCATATATTGTGCTAATTGCACTAGACCTAATGTGCCGTGAAACCTGGTATTGGAGGAGTCATTCGCTATGACATACTCCAGTATGCGAACAGCCTCATACACATGTGCACGCCAGGGGAACCAGCTAGTGAAGCATCAGTCGTAATCAACGCGATTTGCTTCTAGGGAACAAATCGTGTCAAGCGATTTGCATCTGATACCGCAGTTTATCAGATACGCAGTGCCTCCTTATGATTCACCAATGATAACGACAATTAGTTATTTTAATTATGCAACATGCCCGTTATGATGTTTCGCATCCTTCATTTGGTCATGCATTGATTAGGTCAATCGTCTTAATTGAAGATGAGAGGTGGAGTTATAGAATAAAGTTTCTGAAGAGAAATAAGGCAGAGCAAGATCTAAATTGAGGGTGTTTCTTGAGGCCGTAGCTTTGAATCCAAACGTAGTCCGACCAAACACAGCATATGTTTTACTACCAGCATTTCGATTACAGACAACTGTCGTCTTTAGGTTCAAACAACACCTAACTGCAAGGAAATCGGTCTGTGTGAAGGAGTACGAAATAATAGTGGTCAGGTTGAATGAGACCGGGATAGGCGTACTTCCTATTTTGTCGATATATCAAGGAAGGAAAGGTGCAGATGCAGTCGCAGTCCTTGCACTATGGGGTTATTCAGTACGTAGTGCAGTGATTCGTTGATGATGCGACCAGTAGTTTTGGTATTACTGCCATGAAAGAAACGCTGCCATCCACATGTTGAAGACTATGATTGAGGCGATAAAACCGAAGAGATAGAATGCTTATTGGCGACGGATCTCTTACGTTCACTTAACTTTATGGTTTTAATATTATAAGTATATGTTTACAGCAAATGTTGTTGAAAACAGCATCTAAATACCATATGGCTTAAACACCTCATGCAGGACAAGGTGAAGTAGAAAATTCCAAATTCTTGGAGAAAGTAGATGCTCTAATACAAAACTTACCGTGAAACGAAAAAGTAGTAAGCGGGAGTGAAATTAACGAGTATGTCGGAAACGTCGAATGGGTTATGCCAGGATCCACTGAGGACATGGATATGATGAGCTAAATGAGGAAGGGGAGAACATCTGGCCGATAGCAATCGAGTATGATGTGGCTCTGACAAACACAATCTTCAAAGAGAGAGAAAACTTTCTTCGTACAACCATTAAAGCATAGATGAAACGTCAGATCGATTATTTCGTGCTCTAAAGGAATGAAGTAAAGAACGTCATTAAATGTGTAGAAACGTCCATTTACAATGGAGCCCAAACACAACTCAAATGATAAGCTGTTGAAATCTCGACGGAAGCCTGAAAGAAGCATTCAAAAATGAAGTTACAGCAAAAATGATGAATAAAGTTTGTCACAGAAGAGGTTTCACGAAGAACGGAAGCCAATGGGCAGCCGTAGCTCGAGAATTCCAGAGAACTGATCTGAGAAATAGCAAGGGGGACAATACACATTCGGAAAGAGCTATCATGGTAGAATGGGAAAATGTTGACGACGAAGCGATGTTTCAAAACAAAGTGTGGCATGGCCAAGAAGAACGCAAAATAAATGGTCACTGAAGGAAAGTCTAATGAATGAGGTAGTACAAACGCTGACAAGGAAGGAAGGAAAAACAAATTATTCTCGCTAAGAAAACGCCCCACAAAAGGGAAGAACGCATATCGAAAACGTGAAATGCATCGAAGATATATTTGTATGCATATTTAGCAGGAAGATAACAAGACAAAAAGTTTCATGAATGGTAACGGCTGCTGAAAATCATTTCCCAACTTCTGCCAAACTATTCGTATTCAGACAGTTCATTCGTATACCATGTGTAATGGAACCGATCCAGTTCGGGTAGTTTTCGTCAGGCCAACAGTCAAAAGAACACATGCTTGAATTCCAGATGATTCATTTGCAATTATCTGTTTATAATAAACAAGCAAATGTCTGTTCGTTATGATAAAGGATAAGATTGAACGCCACAGGCGACCGTCTCGCCTAGATACTTCCTGCTGATAAAGAAGGCCCTGTGACTAATAACATTGTGATAAAGATCGAATCTGCACTTGCAGCGCTATAAAGAACATTGCCAAAAATTTCATAATTTTATTTCCTCCTTCCTCTCAAACAAATATTCGGTATCGACAAAGCTGGCGATTTTTGAGATTACAGATTTGTGAAGAATTATTGCACTGGATGACCAACTATCACATAGGTCAACTGCGAACAACACCGTCTTATGGTGACGTCAGGGTATAACGTGCGAAGCAAAAGGCAGTGCTACTTGAAGCGTGGACTCATGTTGCATTTTTCCTTGAACTATCTGACCTGGTCACTATGAACTTGAACCAGATATCAACAAAAAAATTAAAAATATATTTAAATCAACAGAACTTCAGAGGTCATCGTTGTCATCTTCATTGTTTGTTAGATGTAACTACTGCACATCTCGGGTCTTGCAATAATCATCGGTATAGCAGTCCTTGTTCACCGTACTCCAGTTTATTTGTCAACCTACCGCGGCATTATAATAAACATTTGATCAACGATAAACTGATCAAACTAACCGGATGATATCAAAAAGAAACTTTAAGCAATACAGGAGTGACAACGGATGGAATACGCATGTATAGAAAACTGTTTCCCACAAAATCCAGATGTTAACCCAAGCACTAATCAGAAAAGAAGCATCTCGGCAGCCATACGATACACTATTGATTACCGTCACCTACCAATTATACTGCATGACATTGCTGGGAACCTTTGAGTATGTGCACATTTATGAAAATAGAGGTAAAAGTTTCACTAGAGGGTAAAATGCAACTGCAGTTTACAAA